ACTTGTGACCCCCATACTAGCCACTTGTGACCCCATACTAGTCACTTGTGACCCCATACTAGCCACTTGTGACCCCCATACTTGCCATTGTGACCCCATATAGCCACTTGTGACCCCCCTACTAGCCACTTGTGGAAACCCCCTACTAGTCACTTGTGACCCCCATACTAGCCACTTGACCCCATACTTTGCCACTTGTGACCCCCATACTAGCCACTTGTGACCCCCATACTAGCCACTTGTGACCCCCATACTAGCCACTTGTGACCCCATACTAGTCACTTGTGACCCCATACTAGCCACTTGTGACCCCATACTAGCCACTTGTGACCCCATACTAGCCACTTGTGACCCCATACTAGCTACTTGTGGCCTCATACTAGCTACTTGAGACCCATACTAACTACTTGTGACCCCATACTAGCTACTTGTGACCCCATACTAGCCACTTGTGACCCCCATACTAGCCACTTGTGACCCCATACTAGCCACTTGTGACCTCCATACTAGCCACTTGTGACCCCCATCACTAGCAGTGACCCCAGAGACTTAAAGTTGTGGCAATCCAGTGACTAGACAGTGGTTATATATACTAGTGGGCACGCCAGCGCTTCAGTGGGCACGCCAGCACTTCAGTGGGCACGCCAGCGCTTCAGTGGGCACGCCAGCGCTTCAGTGGCGCCAGCGCTTCAGTGGGCACGCCAGCGCTTCAGTGGGCACGCCAGCGCTTCAGTGGGCACGCCAGCGCTTCAGTGGGCACGCCAGCGCTTCAGTGGGCACGCCAGCGCTTCAGTGGGCGCGTCAGCGCTTCAGTGGGCGCGTCAGCGCTTCAGTGGGCACGTCAGCGCTTCAGTGGGCACGCCAGCGCTTCAGTGGGCGCGTCAGCGCTTCAGTGGGCACGCCAGTGCTTCAGTGGGCACGCCAGTGCTTCAGTGGGCACGCCAGTGCTTCAGTAGGCACGCCAGCACTTCAGTGGGCGCACCAGCACTTCAGTGGGCACACTTGGTAGGAACTGGTGCTTCATTATATACCAATAACTTACAAGTTTATAACAGTAGAGAGTTTATATACATTAAACAACGTACAGTCGTGCTCCGCTTTGCATCATTTTGGCCTACGTCAAATTCCCCTTTATGTCACATTTCTAGAGTAAATTTTGGTACAATGGACGTCATCACGTCCGATTTTACGTCACTTGGCAATGTCACTGTTTACACTAGTTCTAATAATGTTAGCTTTATATATGCTAGCTTTATTTACGCAAGTTTTATGGTGTTTGTCATCATTTTAAGGCATTTTTAAGGCATGTCTGGTTTACGTCAAAAACTGGGTTACGTCACGGCTCTTGGAACCAGTTAATGACATACGGCGGGTATGGCTAATTCTTTACGTAGGTTAAGATGCTTCATTTTATGTAGTTTTAAACTAAACTTCACTCTACGTAGTTTTTTTAAGATGCTTCACTTTGTGTAGTTTTGATTCAAGTGTTTGTTTGTAGTAGTGTCATGTTTATGGGCACACACTCGCAGCTCTCTAAACCTGCCGATATGAATATTGAAACACTTATGCAATATATGGGAATCTTTATTCAGGAAATGTTTCGCCACACAGTGGCTTCATCAGTCCAATACAAAGCAGAGGGTGTAAGGAGAGGAGGAGTTTGAGGTAATCAGTCCCTCAGCCTGGAGTCGATGTGTTCAGTCCATCAATCTTGTAGAATGTACAGCATAGGGTCGTAGACGTGGTTTGTATACTGTAGTGAGGTGAGGTGAAGCAGGCGGAGGCGGGGTTATAGTGGTATCATCCACTAGTCGAAGTAGGACTTCATCCGAAGGTTGGACAAGTGTTGAAGAATTCTTTGTAACAAGATCCCATGATGATGATACCACTATGACCCTGCCTCCTCCTGCTTCACCTCACCTGACTACAGTATATAAGCCACGTCTATGGCCCTATGCTGTACATTCTACAAGATTGATGGACTGAACACATCGACTCAAGGCTGAGGGACTGATTACCTCAAACTCCTCCTCTCCTTACACCCTCTGCTTTGTATTGGACTGATGAAGCCACTGTGTGGCGAGACGTTTCCTGAATAAAGATTCCCATATGTTGCATAAGTGTCTCAATCTTCAACTTGTCGTTTCTTCAAACCATTTATCACACACACAATATGAATATTTTTCAGTTCTGTGTTCCTCATATTTTTGTTGCAGGTTCATCCTATGCAAGAGTGAACTTTACCTACTGAAATGACATTTTCCAAAAATCAGGTAAAATGTCTGAGAAGTAAATCCTCTATTTAGTGGCTTTCATAAGTAAGTTTATTTAGGTACACGTAAATACATAAATTATCATATACAAGTACTGTACCATCCGACTTACAACTGAGCTTGGTTCCGACCAACTGGTCGTAAGTCAAAATGGACACAAGTCGAACCTTAGAATATTGCTGACTTACTGGGTAGGCATAATATCATACCTTTTCTATATAAATTACCTACATAGTATCGTATGTTACTTTTTACTAAATACGTATTTTGCTATTGTATATGCTGCCAGATGTATGTTACTCTTTTTACTAAATATTTTACTACTGTATATGCTGCCGGATGTACGGTCATAAGTATGAGTGGTCGTATATCGAGCAGGTCATGAGTCGGATTGTACTTGTATAGCATATGTGTAGCTTACCTAGGATAACCCAAATAAAGTCAGACAAAAGTGACTTATTTCCTTTGGGGTTGACCTCTGCTCCGGTATTTGAGCTGGAAACATTGGACCGAGTCCATTGGTTGCAGAACTAGAGATGCCAAGCCCATGATGACACTCTTCAGGTCACTTGTTCTATCTAGGCTGGAATATTGCTGCACACTAACAGCACCTTTCAAGGCAGGTGAAATTGCTGACCTAGAAAATGTACAGAGAACCTTCATGGTGCGCATAATGGAGATAAAACGCCTCAATTACTGGGAGTGCTTGAGGTTCCTGAACCTGTATTCCCTGGAACGCAGGCGGGAGAGATACATGATTATATACACCTGGAAAATCCTGGAGGGACTAGTACCGAACTTGCACACGAAAATCACTCACAACAATAGCAAACGACTTGGCAGACGATGCAACATCCCCCCAATGAAAAGCAGGGGTGTCACTAGCACGTTAAGAGACAATACAGTAAGTGTCAGGGGCCGGAGACTGTTCAACTGCCTCCCAACATACATAAGGGGGATTACCAACAGACCCCTGGCAGTCTTCAAGCTGGCACTGGACAAGCACCTAAAGTCGGTACCTGACCAGCTGGGCTGTGGCTCGTACGTTGGATTGTGTGCAGCCAGCAGTAACAGCCTGGTTGATCAGGCTCTGATCCACCAGGAGGCCTGGTTACAGACCGGCCCGTGGGGGCGTTGACCCCTGAAACTCTCTCCAGGTAAACTCCAGGTCTACCACAATCTCCATTACTGGCCATGCTTCTCCCTGGTCCACCACCAGGCCTGGCCATGGCCATGCTTCTCCCTGGTCCACCACCAGGCCTGGCCATGGCCATGCTCCTCCCTGGTCCACCACCAGGCCTGACCATGGCCATGCTTCTCCCTGGTCCACCACCAGGCCTGGCCATGGACCGGGCTGTGGGGGTGTTGATCCTGGGAATACCTTCCAGGTAGACTACCCCTCCCCCTGTTAATATGTTAAATTGACTGTAATTGTCTAATTTTATTTCATGACATAATACAGATCCTTGAACGTGCTTTTTTCACTGTCTGCTGGGAGACTCCTCTTTCACTGTCTGCTGGGAGACGCCTCTTTCACTGTCTGCTGGGAGACTCCTCTTTCACTGTCTGCGGGGAGACGCCTCTTTCACTGTCTGCTGGGAGACGCCTCTTTCACTGTCTGCTGGGAGACTCCTCTTTCACTGTCTGCTGGGAGACTCCTCTTTCACTGTCTGCTGGGAGACGCCTCTTTCACTGTCTGCTGGGAGACGCCTCTTTCACTGTCTGCTGGGAGACGCCTCTTTCACTGTCTGCTGGGAGACTCCTCTTTCACTGTCTGCTGGGAGATGCCTCTTTCACTGTCTGCTGGGAGATGCCTCTTTCACTGTCTGCTGGGAGACTCCTCTTTCACTGTCTGCTGGGAGATGCCTCTTTCACTGTCTGCTGGGAAACTCCTCTTTTACTGTCTGCTGGGAGATGCCTCTTTCACTGTGTGCTGGGAGACGCCTCTTTCACTGTCTGCTGGGAGACGCCTCTTTCACTGTCTGCTGGGAAACTCCTCTTTCACTGTCTGCTGGGAGATGCCTCTTTCACTGTGTGCTGGGAGACTCCTCTTTCACTGTCTGCCGGGAGACACCTCTTTCACTGTCTGCCGGGAGACCTCTCTTTCACTGTCTGCCGGGAGACTCCTCTTTCACTGTGTGCTGGGAGACTCCTCTTTCACTGTGTGCTGGGAGACTCCTCTTTCACTGTGTGCTGGGAGATGTCTCTTTCACTGTGTGCTGGGAGACACCTCTTTCACTGTCTGCCGGGAGACGTCTCTTTCACTGTCTGCTGGGAGACATCTCTTTCCTGTCTGCTGGGAGACTCCTCTTTCACTGTCTGCAAATTCTTAAAAATAAAATAGGTTTGTTGACTGTGGGGACAGGTGGAAAAATATAAATATGTATTGAATACAACCAGCAAAATTTGAAACAACACATCCATGTAGACAGTGCTGTAAACACATATGTCTTATTGTAAAAATGTCTTTGAATATACACCTACCATCCGAATTACGGCCGAGTTCGGTTCCGAGAAACAGGTCGCAAGTCGAAATGGTCGTAAGTCGAACTTTACAGCTGAATATCAACAAAACATTTTTGTAATGACTTTATTTTATTGTTTTATTTTGGTATTTCATGTTTTACTTTACTTTTTATGTTGTTAGTACTGTATTTTATACTGTAAGGTTTAGGATAAACTCTGTGTACAACACAAATAGTTGTTTATTTCCCAGAAATTTGGCATAAAAAACACGGTCGTAAGTCTAGTGGTCGTAAGTCAAGCAGGTCGTAAGTCGGATGGTAGGTATACTTTTCTTTTTTGTAATGTATGTGGTGTGATCTGTGAGCCGTTATTTTAGTGGTTTTAAGGTAAAAAGAGAATTATGTATCAATATTAAATTAATGGGGAAACATTAAACCCATAAGGGTCATACAACACCTGATGAAATGGGAGGTAATTAGGCTTGATCTAAGGAAGGATAGGTCTAATTCCTAGGATCAAGAGCCCTTCACTGATATTAAGGCAGTTCCATTGAAGGGAGGACGGAAAGATACTGGTGCTTTTTTTCTAATGTTAGTATAATACATACAAAGCCTATAATTTCAGCTTACTGGTATTTATTGATCTTAACATACATGGAGAGCATTAAAATAAGATTTGTTTAGGTTTATTAACCTAGAGGGTTAGCCCATGAGTGTCATCGAGGACTGTCTGTCTTACTTTCATTGTGGTCCTTCAGTCTTGTCCCCCAGGATGCCACCCACAACAGTCAACTAACACTCAGGTACATACGGCTAGGTGAACAAAGACAGCAGGTGTAAGGAAACCTGTCCGTTTCCACCCATACCGGGACTTGAACCCCAGACACTCAGTGTGAGGCTAGAGTGTTGCTGCAGTGTATGACTGTGACTCTCACAGTATAAGTCATCTTGTACATGAACGGTATACAATACCAAGGGACTGATTACCTCGTCTTTTGTATATGGTTCTACTGTCAAGTTACGTCCTAGAATCTGTATTGATAAAGCCACTGGATGGCGAAACGTCTACAATAAAGATACCCAGATGTTGCACACGTGTCTAATTTTCTTGCATACAGTTATGCATCACAGAGCATATTAAAATTAACACTTTCTTAATTGCTATCATAGATTCAGTTTTAACACCTCGAGATATATTCTGTATATTAAACTATACATGTATATATAATGCTGTTAGCAAGTTACTTTATTTAGGTACAGGACCACATTAGTACAATTATCATACATAGTAACATATGCAGTAAGATCACAGTATATATGTTGGTAGAATTACCAACAATATGTAAAATAAAAGGACACAAGTGCAGCTAATGTGACATTTTATTGTGGCAACGTTTTGCTCTCCAGGAGCTTGACAAAGCTCCTGAAGAGTGAAACATTGCCACAATAAAATGTCACATTAGTTGCACTTGTGTCCTTTTACTTTACAAGATCACAGTAAACAGGTGATATCACAATATGCAAAACATCCACTGTAGAAAAAATAGTGAACTTCCAGGTGCTTTCATGATTTCTCACATTATCAAGGACATTGTGGGAAATCACGGTGGTTGTTTTGCATAGTAACATGTACAAATTACCTAGAAAAACCCAGATTTATTTCCATTGTGGTCCTTGACCCCAGTGGTTACTGTTAACAATGTAATCACTAAGGGTGTTGATGTATATCTTTGTTATTTCCCATCAATCAAATCAAATCAAATCAAGTTTATTCTCTATAAAGATTACAATGCGGGGTTTACACATTTTAGGATGTGTGGTTTAGATATTATAAAATACTAATTACAGAGGGGGCCACTATCACACCTAGCATTGCTAGGCATTTCGGGCAGACTAAGATTAATTCATAACTCTAAATACATCTGGTTATTGTTTGGTATCGTATCTATTGCTGAGAAAATGTTTTTCTCAGTTTATTATTTTTTAACAGGTTAGAGAGCCAGAAAATGTAAATGAAGCACTGAGATGCAGGGAGAAGCGATGTAGCAGAGTGGAAATTTCTACTCCCCTCTTGTTGATTTATGTGTAGAGGAACCGTTTTCACAAGTGTTGAAAATAATCAAGACTACCCTGGATACGATGGAGCGTATTGACACTGCAGAACACGAGGAGCAACGAGTAGAACGGGAAATAAGCGAGAGAGAATCAGAGGAAAACCAGGCAGCACAGAATGGTGTAACAGATGACAAGGAAACTTTGCAAAGAAAACTAGAGCAATTGCAAGCGTTGTATGAGAATACAAAACATGAACTGGATTCCACACGAGAGGTAAGACATTACTGATGAGTGATTTTTAATATGTACCTGTATGCCAGCACAGCATATAAGTGTATTTAGCTACAGGTACACATAAGTGCAATTATCAGAGATGTACATATAACATACAGTGGACCCCCGAGTAATGATATTATTTCAATCCAGAAGTCTGTTCGGGTGCCGTTATAGACCGAATTTGTTCCCATAAGGAATATTGTGAATTCGATTAGTCCGTTTCAGACCCCCAAAAATACACCTACAAAAGCACTTACAAAAATACACTTACATAATTGGTCGAGTTGGGAGCTGATCGTTAGTCGGGGGTCCACTGTACATGGTAACTTTAAAACTTGAAATTTTCGAAAGTTTCCGGATATAATCATGAGTTCATGAAGGATGTAAACAGTGGCTTGGGGAGCCATATAAGCTAATTTTTGGTTGTAATTTTCAGTGTCGGTATTAGTGAATCGCCGTAAAGCGATGTAATAGCTATTACATACATATAAAATAATGAAGCCACAGATTTATTTACCACAGAGGAGAAAATAATCACTCGGACTAGACAAACTTGATATTTTTATCTTTTACATGCCCTTGCTGATTATAGGTAACAATGCAGACAGATGAACCTGGTCTTATAAAATATATGTACATGAGCAAGTTTTGTGCTTTTTACCTTAAATGTATGTACAGTGGAACCTCAAAAATCGAACTGTTCCCAACACGACCAATTATGTAAGTGTATTTTTGTAAGTGCTTTTATAAGTGTATTTTTGAGGGTCTGAAATGGACTAATCTAATTTACATTATTCCTGATGGGAATAAATTCATTTGGTAAAGGCACTCGAACAGCCTTCTGGACCGAAGAAAGTTCGATATTTGAGGTTCCACTGTACTGTACTTTTTAAAAAAAAAATATACAACAAGGAAACTCTTATCCCATAATTTTTAAAGTGGTGGAGGGGTAAGCTAGTGGAAGGTTTTGGTCAGCTGACCGAAAACTCCAGCTGTGGGTCATCATATGACTAAGACCAGCATTGGGAAACCTAACCTAATGAAAGAATAGTTGAAAATCTTCTAAATTATGGACATTTTATATAAAAAGGAGATAATTACAAAATATACATATATAGTGGACCCCCGGTTTACGATATTATTTCATTCCAGAAGTATGTTCAGGTGCCAGTACTGACCGAATTTGTTTCCATAAGGAATATTGTGAATTAGATTAGTCCATTTCAGACCCCCAAACATACACATACAAACGCACTTACGTAAATACACTTACATAATTGATCGCATTGGGAGCTGATCGTAAACCGGGGGTCCACTGTATTATAATGAAAATATAGTATTAGGAATGCTTTTAGCATTCCTAATACCATACCAGTACTGGTAACTGTTAGGAATGCTTTTAGCATTCCTAATAGTTAGTTTTTTTTGCCTATACAATCTTTAAGGAAAGTAAGTGCTAGATATGTAAACTTTGATTTCTTCCTAACACACAAAAAAAAAGTCAAAGCTCATTTGATCACGTTTTTTTTTATAGAGAAATTACACTTGTTAGGAAATACGTAACTGGGTGACATCGTGGCAGAAGGTTAGGTAAAAAATTCTGTACTGCCATACTGCAAGTAATTAAGTACAGCATTTGATGAAATATTTTAATGTTTAATTTTAAGAAATTTCAAGTGAAAGTTTTATTACTTTTTACAAATACAAGTGACTGTAATGGTGTGTACTATAGTAAGCTCTGGGGGATGTCAACAGCTTTTAGCGGAGTACTCTAGTTTAACATCACCTTAATCGTAGGGAAGTGAAAGCAGTTTAGCTGACTGTAAAAAAACTCTACCTAGAGAAAAATGTTATCTAAAAGCTTTCTTTTGTATAAATTTTGTCTTTGTCTTCCAGTTTGTTAATGTTACATCCTACAACCATACTGTCATCTTGTCATGTGATTGTGAACTTGAATTTGTAAACATTTTATGTTCTGTCAAGCTTGCTGGTCTTTACTTTCTGTCTCATAAATATATAAGATGGCAGGTAGCTTCGAAGCTATGTATTTTATTATTTTTATTATCACACTGGCCGATTCCCACCAAGGCAGGGTGGCCCAAAAAGAGAAACTTTCACCATCATTCACTCCATCACTGTCTTGCCAGAAGGGTGCTTTACACTACAGTTTTTAAACTGCAACATTAACACCCCTCCTTCAGAGTGCAGACACTGTACTTCCCATCTCCAGGACTCAAGTCCGGCCTGCCGAAGCTATGTACATTCAGTATAATGTATACTTAATTACACTAGGTTCTTAATAGGTCTTATGCATGTAATGTTTCTTTTGGTTTAGGAGGCCTGGTCTGCACCTTGTGTTGGTGCTAAGGGAAGGCAAGTGGAGGCTGAAAAATCCCATATAATCTCCCTCAGACACATCCCCCCCCAAAGCCCCCAAAACAAAAATACATGTAGTAATAATAATGATAATTCAGCTTCAAGAAATGTCCTCCTGCTCCTCTTCCAACCATATTGCCACCTCTAAGCCTCTCTGACTTAGAAATTCTGGAGCTTGTCCAGTCTACAACCATGCTGTGGGGATGTGATCTCCAGAACCCTTAGCAAATATTACAAATATAAAAAATATAAGGGGGAGGATTTGGAAGTGATGCACAGGAGTATAGTGAGAGGGGCATTAGTCATTTCTCTTTTACAGTTTCACCACTTGTATTTCATAAAAAAAAAATAATTACTGTATTGTGAGATAATGAGATAAGATAGATCGGTAATACTTTCCTTGATGGAACCATATGTATTTTATGTTGTGTTGTGCAGGCACTTGGCAAGATTCAGTCAAGTCAACCTGGGGCCTCAAGTAGCAGTGTTGAGACCAAGGAGAGAAGTTCTGAAACTCACAGCCAAGACACTGCCGAACAAGAAGCAAAAGCGGTAGGTGGAATGACGTGCCCAGGCAACTGTTGTAACCATAGAATTATCATTATGCTCATATACAGCTTTCCCTTTCTTTTTTGTGATTTAATTTTGTGGGCATTTGCATATGTGGCAACCCTGTTTCTACCAGTAATTCTTTATACATTGTCTAAATTCTCACTCATATGATCACCTACAGTGCTTGTCATTAAAGTACGGCAGCCTCTGTCCCTCTAAAACCACGACCACAAAATTGGTCGTCCCTTGTGCTTTAGGGCACCCTTTAACTGTCTAAGAAGTAGTTAACGTGCATTTTTCAGGGTTTCACAGGGTAAATTCTCCCACGACTCACAGATGGCATCTTAAAGCTGTGGAAGTGGGCTGATATCCTTTCCTTAGTGTAGTAGATCTCTTTCACAACATAGAGGTTCTATGGGGTTTAAGTCTGGGAAATTTCCAGACTAATCATCAAAAAAGGGTACCTCACAGGCTTTCATTCACTGAACAACAGATTTTGCTGTGCAGTAACAAGCATTGTCTTACACAACACTGGGTGAAAGATTTGACCAAATAACAGAGCAATTCTAGATATATTTTTAGTTAACGTTAGTGAGGACATTTTTTAAAACTTCCCTGGATATGCTTTTGTTGTGGTCATGTCATTAGCACTGTCCTGAAGGAACTGATGCAACCAGGTCTTTATGGGACGCTCACACACATCTGCGGCATCTACTGTTTCCTTTGTTTGCTGGCCTCCTATGTGTAATCTAATCTTTATAGTTATGTTTTATGTCATTGACTTACTCTGCCCATATAAATTCATCAGAAGTCAAAAATGTCTGACGAACCCAACCCTCAAGACCACACACTACAGTGGTACCAAGGACACAAAACTTTCCAACACACAAGCCTAGAAGGTACACTAGAAGGCACCTAAGGTGCAGCCAGTAGCATTAGGAAATCCTGAGATGACCCATCTCAGGTTGTAACGCTGGCATAACTTTTTGTCTCGACTAACCTACTAGGGTAGAGTATTATTTTGGACATTAAAGTATGTCCAGTACCTTCCACCCGGTACACTTTCATGATAAGCACTAAGAAACAGTGATCAGAAAGGAAACAAATTTTGGTGTAGAAAACTCAGTGGGCACATTTTGAGTGAAATTCTATAGTTTTTTATTTTAAGTGTCTTGTACCAAGTCCAAAGAAATGGACCCCCATCCCGACGGCCCAAGCTCAGTACCACATGATTTTGTTGGTTTATATTAACATTCGTAAGAACTTAACAGAAAGAAAGAAAATAGAGTTGGGCATGAGTAATCCAATGGTTATATTTGGAACAATATCCTGTGATTGGATTTCAGTTTGTTTTGCACCTAGTCAAAAGTTAATGAACTCCCAGCCAGACGAAGTTGAAATATATCGACACAGTCAAGACTAGGGACGGGAGACAAGGAGGAAAGAGTAGTGGAGTGGTATGTGCTGACAGGTTCATAACATGTACACTTCACTGCAGACAGAGACAGGTTGCTTGGTTACTGGTGTAGGCAGAATAAAAGGGAGAAGCATTTTGATCGAATTTATAATTCAGTTTTTGCTTTTTTTTTTTTTTGCCAGTTGCATTTATTTTTCATATATGGCAGTTTGGTGCCAGATTTTTGTGTTGCATAGGGGTTATAATTGATTTTTGTATTAAATTTGCTCTCAACTTTTTTGGACAAAATTTATTTATTTTTTGTGTATATGACCATTTGTGGATATGTGGTAAGATGTTTGGGAAAGTAAATACAGTGGACCCCCGGTTAACGATATTTTTTCATTCCAGAAGTATGTTCAGGTGCCAGTACTGACCGAATTTGTTCCCATAAGGAATATTGTGAAGTAGATTAGTCCATTTTAGACCCCCAAACATACACGTACAAACGCACTTACATAAATACACCTACATAATTGGTCGCATTGGGAGGTGATTGTTAAGCGGGGGTCCACTGTATAGAAAGAGCAAAGTCAGGAGAGAAAGAAAATGTCAGTGGAGGGAAGGAGGGAATATGGAAAGGGACTGTATTTATATATTTGGGAGTGGATGTTTCAGCAGGTGGGTTTTTGAAAGACAATGTAGATATTAGAATAGATGAAGAAAATAAAGCAGTTGTAGCAGTGAAGTGTCTATGGAGAGAAATACAGTGGACCCCCAGTTAACGATATTTTTTCATTCCAGAAGTATGTTCAGGTGCCAGTACTGACCGAATTTGTTCCCATAAGGAATATTGTGAAGTAGATTAGTCCATTTCAGACCCCCAACATACACGTACAAACGCATTTACATAAATACACTTACATAATTGGTGATCGTTAAGCGGGGGTCCACTGTACATTTATCACTGGAGGCAAAAGGGGAAATATATGTTTTGTTTGGGCATGAGATTTGGTCTGTTAATGTTGCAGCAAATAGGTGTCTAGAGGCAGTGGAGATGTTCTTTTTAAGACGAATTGGAAGTATAGAAATAGAAGACAGTGTATTGGTGTAAAAAACATAACTCCGAGCAGTGGAGGGGTTGTTTAAATAGTCGAGTCATTTAGGAAGGCTGGACCAGGACACACCTCTCAAGGAAGGTTCCTTGATGTTGGTGAGGGGCTCTTGATTTAGGGAATTGGATCTGTGCTCCAGTTCCCCGAATTAAGCCTGAATGCCTTCCACACACCCCCCCAGGCGCTGTATAATCCTCCGGGTTTAGCGCTTCCCCCTTGATTATAATAATAATAATAATGGACCAGGACACGTCAGCTAAGAGGGTGTATATCTCTGGGGTGGATACAAATTAAGGACATTCCGGGAAGGGTTTTTTAATAAATATTTTATATTATTTTAATATGTGATAGGTTAAAGAAATCATTGCACATATTAGAGTTTATATTCATTGATAAAAAAAGAAATAATGGGACTTCTTGACCTGTTTGTAAGTTTAAAATGATAAGCCTCTGGTTGTAACAAGTTGTACTTGTACTAGACAAGGTGTTAATGAGGAACACAGAAGCATTACCTCTGGCAAAGGGGTAAAAATGTACCCTATTATTTTCTTGTATTATTGGCAAAAGATTTTTTTATGTAACTCATCGACCGTTTCCCACCGAGGCAAAGTGACCCAAAAAGAAAAAAAAAAACCTCATCGTTCAACACTCTCACCATCACTCATGCATAATCACTGTCTTTGCAGAGACGCTCAGATATGACAGTTTAGATGTCCCTCCAAAGTGCCAATATCCCAAACCCCTCCTTTAAAGTTCAGGCATTGTACTTCCCACTTCCAGGACTCAAGTCCAGCTAACTAGTTTCCCTGAATCCCTTCACAAAATATTACCCTTCTCACACTCCAACAGCTCAACAGGTCCCAAAAACTGTCTCCATTCACTCCTATCTAACATGCTCATGCACGGCTGCTGGAAGTCGTAGCCCCTCTGTACTGAGATGCTATATTTGTGTAACTATCATTAACTGTTAGTAACAGATTATCATAAATGTGGTGCACCATTGATCATTGTATACTTACTGTGTTATGTGGGAATAAATATTGAATCTTTGACTTTATTAACCTTTATCTTTGTCATAGCCTATTAATAAAAATGAAGTTTCTCTGTATTGCAACCAAGACGTCAACACGGAGGACTACCTTCAAGATATTTGTTGGGAACCTCAGTGATTATGCCACGAGCTCGGATATCCGAAACCTCTTTGAAATATACGGTACAGTAGAAGAAGCTGATGTGTTGAAAAACTACGGTTTTGTGCACATGAAGAGCGAAGATGAGGGTGAAGCAGCTATCAGAGCGCTGGATGGCTATATGCTTCATGGCAAGGTGAGTCTCTAGTCTTTTATAAATAATTCATATCACTGGAAATAGATGAGTATTATTTATAAAATAAAGGAAATTTTTTTTTAATGCTTAGTAATTACCAATAAAATGCATTACTGTATTAACAAAAAAATTTACTTTATTGCTGATCATAAGTCGACCTTTTTGTTTTACCCCAAAAATGTGATCATAATTATAGCATTTATCTCTCAAGAGCAGTATAAAATTTCTTAGTTAAAAATAAGAAAAATTAAAAATCATTGTTGTAGGGTTGTAACAGCCACTGGGTCATTGTTGTTGGGTTGTAACAGCCACTGGGTCATTGTTGTTGGGTTGTAACAGCCGCTGGGTCGTTGTTGGGTTGTAACAGCTGCTGGGTCACTGCTGTTGGGTTGTAACAGCCACCAGGTCATTGATGTTGGATTGTAACAGCCACTGGGTCATTGTTGTTGGGTTGTAACAGCCACTGGGTCATTGTTGTTGGGTTGTAACAGCCTGGTCTTGTTGGGTTGTAACACCGCTGGTCCTGTGTTGGGTTGTAACAGCCACCAGGTCATTGATGTTGGATTGTAACAGCTACTGGGTCATTGTTGTAGGCTTGTAACAGCTGCTGGGTCATTGTTAGGGGTTGTAACAGCCGCTGGGTCACTGTTGTTGGGTTGTAGCAGCCACTGGGTCATTGATGTTGGGTTTTAACAGCCACTGGGTCATTGTTGTTGGGTTGTAACAGCCACTGGGTCATTGTTGTTGGGTTGTAACAGCCGCTGGGTCATTGTTGTTAGGTTGTAACAGCCGCTGGGTCACTGTTGTTGGGTTGTAGCAGCCACCGGGTCATTGATGTTGGGTTTTAACAGCCACTGGGTCATTGTTGTTGGGTTGTATTTTAATTAAAATCAAGCACTGAACCCACTTTGGGTTGTAAGAGCAATTGTATCATTGTTTTTGAGTTGCAACTTCACAGGTCATTTTTTGAAATGTAACAGCCATTGGGTCGTTTGGTTTTTGGGTAGCCACATTACTGAGGTGATTGTTTTTGGGTTGTAATAGTCATTCTTTTATAATCCAGGTCCAGGTGTAGCTAGGCAAGTGTCGGGTGAGCGTTCTCTGGCACCAGGTCCAAATGTAGCTAGGCAAGTGTCGGGTGAGCGTTCTCTGGCACCAGGTCCAGGTGTAGCTAGGCAAGTGTCGGGTGAGCGTTCTCTGGCACCAGGTCCAGGTGTAGCTAGGCAAGTGTCGGGTGAGCGTTCTCTGGCATCCCTGTGAATTTCTGCCTTTTGATAGGAAATTTTTATCTTTCCACAGCAGTTATTTGTCCGGTCACATGAGTTGCTTTACCTGATTGATTATCTCACAGCTTTAGATATTTAAAGGTCCCACATGCTCCATGGGCCATTTCAGGACATGTTCTGAGGTCTCGGGTCTTTTCTCAGCTTGTATTAGCCAAGCATGACTGAGTCTTTAAGTGCATGGTTCAACAACCTCGCCTATCCACATTTGATCAGTTTTGGCACTGGTGCAATCTTAGCACTTCGCACTTGGATGTCTTGCTATGCAGACGGATGTGGGACTCCTTTCAAGGTCATAATGATATCCAGGCTGTCACTGGTGGGTCACCTGTGTGTGCTTGCAACTTGGCTTTTTATAATAATACTAATTTACTGTTGCCAATATTGGTGCTGTGTATATTCCATGTCAGGATCTACTGGCCTTGTAGGATGCTTTTACTTTAGCTTGCTGCATTTCAGTGATTATTCTTCCCATGGCCAAGTATGATGATCCTTTTCTTAATAATTTCTGGCTCAGTCATTTGGTGTTTAAGGAAACTACCACCCACACTAGATAGGTTGCTATATCAGGGTCACTCCTGCATAGATTCCACCTTCTCATAATAGCTGCCTTCTCCATTTTTAGGTACTGGTTGTACCATTATAACTGGGGCCTCCCAGGGCTCCACAGTGGAAAGCTGCATTTTAAACCCTGAGAGATGCATTTCTGTGCCAGGGATCATGGGAGAGAAGCCTGAGTTTCCACTACCTCCTCAGCTGTGTTTTTTGGCTGATAATTGAACTTGGTCAGCCATGATACTCTGTCTAGCATAATAACAATATAGTAATGACCTGTGAGTGGGGCAAAACTACTTTGGATAAAAATGATTGATACAGCTGTATCAAGACTTGAGAGGTGGGCATTAGGAATAAATGTGATATAATTACAAGTAGGCCCATCCCCATCACACATGGTCCCTGTCATGACACGGGTCTTTGGTATTCAAAATTTAGATTTTTTGGCAAAATGTCAGGGGCTGCTGTACACAAAATTGACCTATACATAAGTGCATACATTAACTTATATTTTATGATTAGTATTCTACTAACCCTTAAACTGTCCAAATGTAGATCTACGTTGACGTGCATAGCGCTCTGACCTTGATTTTCTCCATTTAAAAGCACGTAAAATAAGACGTAGATCTACGTTCGGAGCACTACGCACGCCACCGTAGATCTATGTTTGGACAGTTTAAGGGTTAACTTAAGGTCAAAAGCTGTGTGTATTTGATTACAGCCCTTGGATGTTAAGGCATCTACTGGCATCAGGAAGGGAGCAGTTGACCAAGGTGGTGGGCTAGCTAACACTGAGGTAAAGTTTAACATTTATGTTTGTGTGGTAGTCTGGAAATTATTGCATTGACTATGTATCATACTGTATGTAATTTAATGAAATATAAAAAAAATTAAAATCAATTAAATATTATTCTATTATATAATTCAGCAATAATGTTAATAAAACTAAATACTGTACGGTATTACTAAAAAAAATTTTTTATAATGAAGTCATCTGGACAGAAAAACACATTCAAGATATTTGTAGGAAACCTCAGTGATTTTGCCACGAGTGCGGATATCCGAGAAATATTTGAAAATTACGGCACAGTGGTGGAAGCAGATGTTATGAAAAACTATGGTTTTGTGCACATGAAAAATGAAGAGGAAGGCCAGGCAGCTATCAAAGCACTGAATGGTCACAGGCTTCGTGGGAAGGTAAATGTATTGTGTTGCTACATGTACAGTAATAGTGAACACCATGACATGCTCACACTGTCTTAGTAGTGGTAATGAACACCATATGCTCACACTGTCTTAGTAGTGGTAGTGAACACCATGACTGATGCTCACACTGTCTTAGTAGTGGTAGTGAACACCATGACATGCTCACACTGTCTTAGTAGTGGTAGTGAACACCATGACATGCTCACACTGTCTTAGTAGTGGTAGTGAACACATGACTTTCTCCATATGTCTTAGCATAATGTTAGTAGTAGAACACCATGACTGTGCTCACATGTTTAGTAGTAGTAGTGGACACCATGACATGCTCACACTTTTATAGTGGTAGTGAACACCATGACATGCTCACACTGTCTTAGTAGTGGTAGTGAACACCATGACATGCTCACACTGTCTTAGTAGTGGTAGTGAACACCATGACTGATGCTCACACTGTCTTAGTAGTAGTAGTTGACACCATGACATGCTCACACTGTCTTAGTAGTAGTAGTGGACACCATGACATGCTCACACTGTCTTAGTAGTAGTAGTGAACACCATGACATGCTCACACTGTCTTAGTAGTGGTAGTGAACACCATGACTTGCTTACACTGTCTTAGTAGTGGTAGTGAACACCATGACATGCTCACACTGTCTTAGTAGTAGTAGTGGACACCATGACATGCTCACACTGTCTTAGTAGTAGTAATGAACACCATGACATGCTCACACTGTCTTAGTAGTAGTAATGAACACCATGACATGCCCACACTGTCTTAGTAGTAGTAATGAACACCATGACATGCCCACACTGTCTTAGTAGTAGTAATGAACACCATGACATGCCCACACTGTCTTAGTAGTAGTAATGAACACCATGACATGCTCACACTGTCTTAGTAGTAGTAATGAACACCATGACATGCCCACACTGTCTTAGTAGTAGTAATGAACACCATGACATGCTCACACTGTCTTAGTAGTAGTAGTGAACACCATGACATGCCCGCACTGTCTTAGTAGTAGTAATGAACACCATGACATGCCCACACTGTCTTAGTAGTAGTAATGAACACCATGACTGATGCTCACACTGTCTTAGTAGTAGTAGTGAACACCATGACATGCCCACACTGTCTTAGTAATAGTAGTGAACACCATGACATGCTCACACTGTCTTAGTAGTAGTAATGAACACCATGAAATGCTCACACTGTCTTAGTAGTGGTAATGAACACCATGACATGCTCACACTGTCTTAGTAGTGGTAGTGAACACCATGACATGCTCACACTGTCTTAGTAGTAGTAGTGAACACCATGACATGCCCGCACTGTCTTAGTAGTAGTAATGAACACCATGACATGCTCACACTGTCTTAGTAGTAGTAATGAACACCATGACATGCCCACACTGTCTTAGTAGTAGTAATGAACACCATGACTGATGCTCACACTGTCTTAGTAGTAGTAGTGAACACCATGACATGCCCACACTGTCTTAGTAATAGTAGTGAACACCATGACATGCTCACACTGTCTTAGTAGTAGTAGTGGACACCATGACATGCTCACACTGTCTTAGTAGTGGTAGTGAACACCATGACATGCTCACACTGTCTTAGTAGTGGTAGTGAACACCATGACATGCTCACACTGTCTTAGTAGTGGTAGTGAACACCATGACATGCCCACACTGTCTTAGTAGTAGTAGTGGACACCATGACATGCTCACACTGTCTTAGTAGTAGTAGTGAACACCATGACATGCCCACACTGTCTTAGTAGTAGTAGTGAACCATGACATGCTCACACTGTCTTAGTAGTAGTAGTGAACACCATGACATGCCCACACTGTCTTAGCAGTAGTAATGAACACCATGACTGATGCTCACACTGTCTTAGCAGTAGTAATGAACACCATGACATGCTCACACTGTCTTAGTAGTAGTAGTGAACACCATGACATGCTCACACTGTCTTAGTAGTGGTAGTGGACACCATGACATGCTCACACTGTCTTAGTAGTAGTAATGAACACCATGACATGCCCACACTGTCTTAGTAATGAACACCATGACATGCCCACACTGTCTTAGTAATGAACACCATGACTGATGCTCACACTGTCTTAGCAGGAAGGATAACTACAGCCTCTCCTCACTTAACGATGGAGTTCCGTTCCTAAGACCACGTTGGTAAATGAGTGCGTCTCTACGTGAGAAGAGACTGTATACTATAGACTAGTTAGATTCAATATAAAATATTCAGCTTCTGCACATATCTTATTCATCTACTTGCCAGTATTATATACTTGTTGCTTTCAACACGCTGGCCGTATCCCACCGAGGCAGGGTGACTCGAAAGAAAAAACGAAAGCTCCTCCATTTACATTTAGTAATATATACAGGAGAAGGGGTTACTAGCCCCTTGCTCCTGGCATTTTAGTCGCCTCTTACTACCATTATAATGATATTATGGTAGTGTCCTCACCATCCTACCATCACATGCCTGAGCATACATATGATGACTCAGTGACTGCCTCTAACACTCCAATACCATTTACTAAAATAATGAAATATAACTCGTAGAAAAATTCTCATAAGCTTTCATGACAACACACAAGTATCATTTGGTGAGCGGCACTCGACTCTTGGTGTGGATATTTTGATCCAACTTGTTTTATCACAAATACTTATTGTTTGCATTCATGAAATGCCATTAATAATAATATATTAATACTTTTAAAACTTTGATCCAGTGACTTTCATATTTGTACAGTGGACGCCCGGTTTACGATCAGCTCCCAATGCGACCAATTATGTAAGTGTATTTATGTAAGTGCGTTTGTATGTGTATGCTTGGGGATCTGAAATGGACTAATCTAATTCACAATATTCCTTATGGGAACAAATTCGGTCAGTACTGGCACCTGAACATACTTCTGGAATGAAATAATATCGTAAACTGGGGGTCCACTGTATTTATTTAGCCAAACTTCTTCGGTTCAAGTTTAAAGAATTTATTTTTTTAATTTATTTCAGCCAATGGTTGCAGAGGCATCTACTGGTACTAGGAAAAGTGGGTATCGAATGCCAAAGATCTTTGTTGGCAACTTAAGTAGGCACTGCACACGAGACGAGCTTAAAAATATGTTTGAAGAGTATGGCAAGGTGGTAGAGATTGGTATGCTAACCAACTTTGCATTTGTTGTAAGTATTTTTCCTTCTTTTTGGGTCATCCTACCTCGGTGGGAAACAGCCAACGTATTAAAAAAAAAAAAAATTCCAGATGCACTGATAACACGTACATAGGAGAATGAACCTGATGACAGTGCTTAGGTCCAACTTGGACCATTTACTAGTCCAAGTTGGACTGAAATGTCGTCATAAGGTTTATTCTCCTCTGTGCAGGTTATCTGTGTATTGTTTCAGTCACGGTATTGAATTTTTTATTGTACTTCAGATAATTCATTCTGATGAGATACCTCTGCTTGAGTCTTTGTTACTTAGGCATTAGAGCCAGTGATATACCTGTAAACAGTTTCAAGAGTTTCTACCCTTGCTGCCCGGCTTGGGGGTCAGGCTTCTCTGTTGCTTGATTGTTTAATCAGGCTGTTGCTATTGGTGGCCCTCTGGCCCACATAGTCATCACAGCCTGGTTGATATGGCACTTGGTGGAGGTAATAGTCCAATTTCCTATTGTAAACCTCTACACTTATTCTTGTATACTTATTCTTAAGAAGGAATAACTTTCAGATAATGTCATTTGGAAACCACAATAATTATGGTAAATACAGCAAAAACCAGGAAAGTGACACTTCAGATCTTAAGAATTTTTGCAACAAGGGAATCATTACCAGTGTTGGTGTATTGTAGATCACTTGTGCTCTCACAAATATAATTTTGTTCTAGGCTCACAGCACAGAGCTAGAAAATGTACAGAGGTCATATGCTACCTGCACAGAATCAATAAAACATCTAAACTACTGGGAATACCTCAAGGTCTTCTTTCAACACGCCGGCCGTATCCCACCAAGGCAGGGTGGCCCAAAAAGAAAAACTAAAGTTTCTCTTAAATTTAGTAATTTATACGGGAGAAGGGGTTTCTAGCCCCTTGCTCCCAGCATTTTAGTTGCCTCTTACAACACACATGGCTTACGGAGGAAGAATTCTGTTCCACTTCCCCATGGAGATAAGAGGAAATAAACAAGAACAAGAACTAGAAAGAAAATAGAAGAATACCTAGAGGGGTGTGTATATATATGCTTGTACATGTATGTGTAGTGTGACCTAAGTGCAAGTAGAAGTAACAAGATATACCTGAAATCTTGCAAGTTTATGAGACAGACAAAAGACACCAGCAATCCTACCATCATGTAAAACAATTACAGGTTTTCATTGTACACTCACTTGGCAGGATGGTAGTACCTCCCTGGGTGGTTGCTGTTTACCAACCTACTACCTAGGAATACCTCAAGGTACTTGGATTATTTTCTCTGGAATGAGCAAGAAAGAGACATGATAAAATATATTATATGTGGAAGATACATGATTGCCTTGTCCCTAACTTGCACACTTGTGGAATAAACCCAGTAAAGAACAGGGAAAGCAGTGGGTTCATTTAGAGAACACTGTCAACATCTGTGGTCCAAGACTCCAGCACGCTACCATCAGATATATTTTTTTTTTTTTTTAACACACTGGCCGATTCCCACCAAGGCAGGGTGGCCCACCAAGGCAGGGTGGCCCACCAAGGCAGGGTGGCCCACCAAGGCAGGGTGGCCCACCAAGGCAGGGTGGCCCACCAAGGCAGGGTGGCCCCCCCCAAAAAAAACTTTCACCATCATTCACTCCATCACTGTCTTGCCAGAAGGGTGCTTTACACTACAGTTTTTAAACTGCAACATTAACACCCCTCCTTCAGAGTGCAGACACTGTATTTCCAATCTCCAGGACTCAAGTCCGGCCTGCCGGTTTCCCTGAATCCCTTCATAAATGTTACTTTTCTCACACTCCAACAGCACGTCAAGTATTAAAAACCATTTGTCTCCATTCACTCCTGTCAAACACGCTCATGCATGTCTGCTGGAAGTCCAAGCCCCTCGCGCACAAAACCTCCTTTACCCCCTCCCTCCAACCTTTCCTAGGCCAACCCCTACCCCACCTTCCTTCCACTACAGATATACAACTACCATCCGACTTACGACCACTCGACTTACGACCGTGTTTTTTATGCCAAATTTCTGGGAAATAAACAACTATTTGTGTTGTACACAGTGTTTATCCTAAACCTTACAGTATAAAATACAGTACTAACAACATAAAAAGTGAAGTAAAACATGAAATACCAAAATAAAACAATAAAATAAAGTCATTATAAAAATGCTTTGTTGATATTCAGTAGTAAAGTTCGACTTACGACCATTTCGACTTACGACCGGTTTCTCGGAACCGAACTCGGTCGTAAGTCGGATGGTAGGTGTATATACTGCTGAAATAAAGATATAAGTTTGCAAGAAGTTGAGCAGGTTCATCATAAAGGTATTGGATCAGTCAGGTTGTGATGGCTGTGGGAGCCTTGTTAGCTGAGTAGACCAGACAGCCTGGCCTCAGGCTGGGCTGTGAAGAGTATACTGGTGCCCTTGAAACTGGTTGTATGTATGTTCAGCCAAGTGACTTTATGTAAGTTTTAGACATTAAACTGATTAGTAACAATGGAATAACTGACAAAATGTTAGGTAAATGGATACAGATGCAACTAATGTGGCATTTTATTGTAGCAAGATTTTGCTTTCCAGGAGCTTTCTTGTCCTCGTCCTCATCCTTATCCCTGTCCCTACTGGCTGATGCTGGCAGGTCTTTCTCAGACCCTACAAGGCTCACCAAAACTATAACTACCTCTGCTTCTACTACACTCTTGTAGTTTCCCACCTGACTCTCACCACTATACACTGTACAGTGGAGCCCCGCTTAATGATCACCTCTCAATGCGACCAATTATGTAAGTGTATTTATGTAAGTGCGTTTGTACATGTATGTTTGGGGGTCTGAAATGGACTAATCTACTTCACAATATTCCTTATGGGAACAAATTCGGTCAGTACTGGCACCTGAACATACTTCTGGAATGAAAAAATATCGTTAACCGGGGGTCCACTGTATACTCATTTCTTGGTTGTCTCTGTATTAGGATTGAAGAATCCACTTGTGGGAAAAATTTTTTTTTAATAAATGTTTCCTGAAATATGTAGAAGTATTATGTAGAAGTATTATGTAGAAGTATTATGTAGAAGTATTATGTAGAAGTATCTTGTCAGTATTACTATACCATTTACTTTCAAATATTTTCCTTTCAAATACTGTTTCATTTTCTTTCAATTTTTAAAATACTTGTTTCTGTCTAGCACATGAGTGATGAATCTGACGCCCAGAAAGCAATCAGGGAGTTGGATGGACACGAGATGCACGGATTACGTTTGACAGTCCAAAAGGCCACCTCCCGTGGCAGGCAGCAATATGGTATGGGATATCCAGACATGGGTTCTCGCTATTTACCTGGAGCCCCATTGGTGGAGTCTTGAAGTCGGTACGATCCGTACCCCCACACCTCCTCTAGATATGGCAGGGAACGCATAATGCCAGGGGCAGTTACATACATTTTTACTCATTGCTGTTATAATAAATGTCTAATTAACATTTTACATTATACATGGATTAAATCACAAAAAGAATAAGGGAAATTTGAATGAATTAGTCAACAAATTTAACATATTTGGATGAATAAGTTTTTAATGATGTACCCTTTTTATTAGAATCACAAATCATTGCTCATATGGATGTAACAATAAAATATTAATGAGTTCTGAATGTGCTTTAATTTTTCAGATCTTTAGGCAGGTTAATAAAAATATAAAAATGAACCATTCTTACATTTGAAAATAAAAATTTAGAGGGTTTTTAAAATGATTTAATAAGGTGTTCAGAAAAGGTGAACTAGGAAACAATTTATAGTAATTACAAAAATTGGTTGAATGTTTTTCCATTTTGTTTTCACATAATACATAAGGGATATGGTTCAACCTGATTAAATTTATCGATTTTGTCTGGTAACATTGATGTTGACCTTTTTCCCCCGGCTTTTATCAAAAAAAAATTTTTTTTTTTTTTTCCCCCAAAAAATTTTTTAAAAAAAAATTTTTAATTTTTTTAAAAAAGAATTTAGGTGTTTAATAATGAGTTTGATCATACAGGGTGTTCAGAAAAAGGTGGAACTCATGGAGAATACACATTTATTAGTAAATTACAAAAATTGTTGAATGTTTTGTCCATTATGGTTTTCACATAAGTGTACATAATGCATCATGTTGTTCAACACTTGTTTTAATGTTTATCGATGTTCTGTCTGTTGTACATTGAATGTTGACCTGTAACTCTCCAGTACACAAGGCTAATTTTAATACACAAATAACCAGCACATAAAAGAGAGAAGCTTACGACGACGTTTTGGTTCGACTTGAACCATTTACAAAGTCACACTAACCAGAAGTGGAGCAGGACGGCTATATATAGGCAGGAAGAGGTGGTGGTGGTAGTAGTAGTAGTAGTAGTAGTACAAGAATGGTATATAATACTGACAAGATGAAATTAAGACACATGCGCAACACCTCTTTTATGTGCGGGTTATTTGTGTATCGTTCCAGTCACGGTATTGTGCCTTTTTTTGCTACTTTTAATACACGAAGGTCCCCACTTTACAGCATTTTACTAATGCAGCAGTTTTCAGTTCTAGCCATTCTTCATTTATTCGGACTTCCTGCAATAAATTTATTCACCACTCACTGAAAGCTTACGACAAAAAAATATTTTAAGGTAAGTAATGTATATACTGTATGATAATGTAAACAAATTATCATGCATTTATATACATTAAAAGTGAAAATAGGTTATATTTCACTTTACAGTGATTTTTGCTTTACAGTGGTAGCCCAGAACCTAACCTGCTGTATAAGTGGGGTCCTACAGTAGCCCAGAACCTAACCTGCTGTATAAGTGGGGCCCTAGAGTAGCCCAGAACCTAACCTGCTGTATAAGTGGGGCCCTACAGTAGCCCAGAACCTAACCTGCTGTATAAGTGGGGCCCTACAGTAGCCCAGAACCTAACCTGCTGTATAAGGGGGGGGCCCTAAAAGTAGCCCCGAACCCCAACTGCTGTAAAAGTGGGGCCCTACAGTAGCCCAGAACCTAACCTGCTGTATAAGTGGGGCCCTACAGTAGCCCAGAACCTAACCTGCTATATAAGTGAGGCCCTACAGTAGCCCAGAACCTAACCTGCTGTATAAGCAGGGCCCTACAGTAGCCCAGAACCTAACCTGCTGTATAAATGGGACCCTACAGTAGCCCAGAACCTAATCTACTGTATAAGCAGGGCCCTACAGTAGCCTGGAACCTAACCGATTGTATAAATAGGGCCCTACAGTAGCCCAGAACTTAACCTGCTGTATAAATAGGGCCCTACAGTAGCCCAGAACCTAACCTACTGTATAAATAGGGCCCTACAGTAGCCCAGAACCTAACCTGCTGTATAAATAGGGCCCTACAGTAGCCCAGAACCTAACCTGCTGTGTAAATAGGGCCCTACAGTAGCCCAGAACCTAACCTGCTATATAAATAGGGCCCTACAGTAGCCCAGAACCTAACCTGCTGTATAAATAGGGCCCTACAGTAGCCCAGAACCTAACCTGCTGTATAAATAGGGCCCTACAGTAGCCCAGAACCTAACCTGCTGTATAAATAGGGCCCTACAGTAGCCCAGAACCTAACCTGCTGTATAAGCAGGGCCTACAGTAGCCCAGAACCTAACCTGCTGTATAAATAGGGCCCTACAGTAGCCCAGAACCTAACCTGCTGTATAAATGGGGCCCTACAGTAGCCCAGAACCTAACCTGCTGTATAAATGGGGCCCTACAGTAGCCCAGAACCTAACCTGCTGTATAAGTGGGGCACTACAGTAGCCCAGGACCTAACCTACTGTATAAGCAGGGCCCTACAGTAGCCCAGAACCTAACCTGCTGCATAAATGGGGCCCTACAGTAGCCTGGGACCTAACCTACTGTATAAGCAGGGCCCTACAGTAGCCCAGAACTTAACCTGCTGTATAAGCAGGGCCCTACAGTAGCCCAGGACCTAACCTGCTGTATAAGTGGGGCCCTACAGTAGCCCAGAACCTAACCTGCTGTATAAATGGGCCCTACAGTAGCCCAGAACTTAACCTGCTGTATAAGCAGGGCCCTACAGTAGCCCAGAACTTAACCTGCTGTATAAGTGGGGCCCTACAGTGGCCCAGAACTTAACCTGCTGTATAAGCAGGGCCCTACAGTAGCCCAGAACTTAACCTGCTGTATAAGCAGGGCCCTACAGTAGCCCAGAACTTAACCTGCTGTATAAGCAGGGCCCTACAGTGGCCCAGAACTTAACCTGCTGTATAAGCAGGGCCCTACAGTAGCCCAGAACTTAACCTGCTGTATAAGCAGGGCCCTACAGTAGCCCAGAACTTAACCTGCTGTATAAGCAGGGCCTAGCTGTAGAGTGTTTGCTGAAAAAAATAAACCTTGTAATGTGGATACTATTCGTTTACTTTATGATCACTAAACAAAGAAAAACAATGGGGTACAATAATATATAAACTCTCCATAGGTTGTATCTCTGTTTTTTGAACACCCTGTAATTTCCAGTCCACAACTTCGTTGCTGACAAAATTGTCGCTTTTTTCCATCAATCCATGAACTGCTTGGTCCAACTGTATCATTTGTATCAGGCTGCATGTACACTATACTCTTGATTTTAAAGGAAATCGTTTTTTATGTGAAAATGATTAACACTTGTAAATTATCATTACTATAGTGGTGATCCTGAACTCTTGTTAGTATACCATCCTCCACTGCTGAATTCTTCTGCCAGGTGGTAGTCACTATTCACTGTACCATCCTCCACCGCTCAGCTTTCCTGCCAGGTGGTAGTCACTATTCACTGTACCATCCTCCACTGCTCAACTCTCCTGCCAGGTGGTAGTCACTATTCACTGTACCATCCTCCACTGCTCAACTCTCCTGCCAGGTGGTAGTCACTATTCACTCTGCACAGTAATGGACATTAATTACTTGCTGATGTAAGAATTAGATCTTCAACGTACTGGCTGTATCCCACCAAGGCAGGGTGACCCAAAAAGAAAAACAAAAATTTCTCTTTTAAACTTCAGTAATGTTTACAGGAGAAGGGGTTACTAGCCCCTTGCTCCCAATATTTTAGTCACCTCTTATGACACGCATGGCTTACAGAGGAAGAATTCTGTTTCACTTTCCCATGGATATAAGAGAAGATAAACAAGAACAAGAACTAGTAAGAAAAAGAAGAAAACCCAGAGGGGTGTGTATATATATGCTTGTACATGCATATGTAGTATGACCTAAGTGTAAGTAGAAGTAGCAAGATATACCTGTTATCCCATTTGTGTATTTTTTTTTTCAATAAGCCAGCCGTATCCCACCAAGGCAGGGTGGGCCAAAAAGAAAAACGAAAGTTTCTCTTTTTAAATTTAGTAATTTATACAGGAGAAGGGGTTACTAGCCCCTTGCTCCTGGCATTTTAGTCGCCTCTTACAACATGCATAGCTTACGGAGGAAGAATTCTGTTCCACTTCCCCGTGGAGATAACAGGAAATAAACAAGAACAAGAACTAGTAAGAAAATAGAAGAAAACCCAGCTGGGTGTGTATATATATGCTTGTACATGCATATGTAGTATGACCTAAGTGTAAGTAGAAGTAGCAGGATATACCTTTTATCCCACTTGTGTATAGAAACAAAAAATAAGACACCAGCAATCCTACAATCATGTAAAACAATTACAGGCTTCCGTTTTACACTCGCTTGGCAGGACGGTAGTATCTCCCTGGGTGGTTGCTGTCTACCAGCCTACTACCACAGGATGGTAGTATCTCCCTGGGCAGTTGCTGTCTACCAGCCTACTACCACAGGACGGTAGTACCTCCCTGGTTGGTTGCTGTCTTCCAACCTACTACCACAGGACGGTAGTACCTCCCTGGGTGGTTGCTGTCTACCAGCCTACTACCACAGGATGGTAGTATCTCCCTGGGTGGTTGCTGTCTACCAGCCTACTACCACAGGACGGTAGTATCTCCCTGGGTGGTTGCTGTCTACCAGCCTACTACCACAGGACAGTAGTACCTTCCTGGGTGGTTGCTGTCTACCAGCCTACTACCACAGGACGGTAGTACCTCCCTGGGTGGTTGCTGTCTACCAACCTACTACCACAGGACGGTAGTACCTCCCTGGGCGGTTGCTGTCTACCAGCCTACTACCACAGGACGGTAGTACCTCCCTGGGTGGTTGCTGTCTACCAGCCTACTACCACAGGATGGTAGTATCTCCCTGGGTGGTTGCTGTCTACCAGCCTACTACCACAGGATGGTAGTATCTCCCTGGGTGGTTGTTGTCTACCAACCTACTACCACAGGATGGTAGTATCTCCCTGGGTGGTTGCTGTCTACCAGCCTACTACCACA